CTGAACAGTGTTTGCACTTCTATGAAACTGTGATCCCATACATCACACTGAACATTTGTTTTAGCATAAGGCCGGTGTTATTCTGTAGTTTTCTTTCTTCTCAACAAATCCCTTGCAAAGACCAAAACAAGGTGTTAGTCCATTTCTCACTATGTTATGACTCACCCTGTTGCACTCAGCCCGGAGCCCACTGTGTCGAAAAGGTTTCAAGATTTGGTCACAAATATGTTGCTTCATTTAAAAAAAAAAAAGGGTCTGTAGTTTCCTAAAGCAGTGTCCCGATGCAGTGTTAGTAAATGCTTCTTAAACTGGAGTAACAAGTTAATTTGTTGGGGACTTTTTTCAGCTGTGGATTAATACACACTCAGTGCATGTGGCAATGACTCTAAAGAAACTGTAAGTTCCCATGTTAATTATAATGGAGGAACCTGGTGCAATGAGTGGTGTGTGTTAAATGTGTATATTGAGTTGTTTTATTTTCATTGGATTTGTTGTCAACAAGAAAAATAGAATACCACCATTGTTTCCTTTAAGTATATGTTGTTTTTAGATGTTATTATAATATATAGTTATTTCATATCCTCATTTATTTACACATGTACATAATATAGTTAATATAGTAAATGTAAGAAAAAACCTGATGTGACCAGACATTGAACATGAACTTGATGTGCACTAGGTGATGCCGTTCTTGAGTTCGAGGTGGAGGTGGTTGCTCTGATGCAGCAGACGCCGTGGCAGAAAATGGTCAACGATGTGTTCCCCCTCGTGTGTTTGGCCCTGGTGCCCACTCTGCTCGGCTTGGTGGGACTATACCTCTACAAAAAGGCTAATGCAGAGAAGCCGAGCAAAAAGAAGGCGAAGGATAAGAAGAGCAAGAAGAAATAAGGACAAAAACAAAGAATTATTTAAATAAAAAAATGTAATTGTATTTTGTGTTTTCATGTGTATTATTTGTGTGTATTAACACCTGAACTTAATGTGTTTTAAAAGCACAGCAGTTATCTGTTCAGTTCAGTGTTTGAGTATGTGTTATTACTATACGTACTGTTAACAGCCTCAGTAACAGTGATGTTCATACAGTCTGTGAGTCTGTGAGCAGTTGCAGAGAAGTTGCAGATTCATGAACTTCATGATGATTCTTGTGTCTGATTGTATCAGAAACAGCAGCTGCAGGACATTATGACAGTAAATGCCTGTGTTTATATATCGCTTTTATCCAAAGTGCTTTACGATTCACCTCTCGTTCATTCACACACACACTGATGGCAGCTTGTGTGACCATCAGGAGCAATTTGGGCTCCATTGTTTCGCCAAAGAACACTTTAACACACAGACGGTGGAGCTGGGGGATCAAAACCAGGCTCAACATCCTGAGCCACAGCCGTTCCCCATGATAGGGCTGCTACAACAGCAACAAATGAATCAATTATCTCATCAATAAAAGCAGAAAGAGTACACAATCACACTGTGACAACTTCAATTTAAGCAACAGTTGTGCTGCATACAGAATTGCAGAATCACAAGATGTATTTGGTCCTTATTGAGGTGACTATTAGAAAAAATCTTTCCCTGACATCTTTTTAACTGACTGCACAACCAGAGGTAAAAAAAAAAATATTACGAAACAGGAACAGGACACTGAGTTAAAGTGCAAGGAAACTTCAATGTTCAAACAGCGTGCTGAACACTTCACTCACATTTTCTTTGGGTGTTTTGTATATGACTGCATTAAAGAGCTGCTTGTGCAAAGACCTACTCATTTGCAACCAGGTAAAGGGCAGGTAATCTACAGGGAGCGCCATTATGTAGAAACAGGACTAATTGCCAAAAAAGTGATGTGTTACTAAGAGATATTCTTTGGAGATGGTGAGAACATCATCTGAGGGATTTAACTGAATAAATGGCCTCTCTTTTTGAGTAAGACCAGCAGGAGACACTGACAGACTGAGAAAATAACAGAACACGTTGTATAAGCTGTAATGCTAACTGCTTACAGATACAGATTTTCCTTGTTATATCAATCTTTTAAGCATTACACTGTCGCTGTCATCTGATTATCTCCTGTGGCTTTATTACAGTTCCACAGAGCTTTTCAGACCTGATGCCACGGCTGTTAAGGCTTGACCTACCAGTGGATCCACACAGTGCATCTCCTTGATGTTCCAGCCAAAGAGGAGAGGGAGATATCAGAGACTTGGGATGATATTGTTTTATTTTGTAAAAATCTGATTCAAACTGATTAAATGAAACCTCTCCTCTGCCTGTTCAATGTCATCATGACCACTGATCTTTTCTGATGGACATCACTTTGGTGTAGAGATGTTTAAAGTCACATCCTGTGCAGGAAGCAGCACACACACACACACACACACACACACACACACACACACACCCTCTCAGAGGAACTCAGCACCAACAGAGCCTCCTGCTGTTTGACCTGAAGCTGAGCGTTATTCTATTTCTGTGATCAGTCTATACTTACAACTAGATGACCCAAAGTTAAACTCACTTTAACAAGTTATCTGATTCAATACTGCAAATGATGATAAATGAATGGCTGCCTCAAATGGAAGTAAAATACATTGTTAGATGTAAAACATTGCAGCATTTCTGCTGTAAATACATATAAAACACAATTAAATATATGGTCACCCTTTCCAACTTTTGTAAAAGTGTGACCAAGAAAACACAGCAGGTTGATTTATTTGAATCATATTTAAGTCACACACTGAGAACTAAACTATTTTTATGTGTATTGTTTTACCAGATAATAGCTATAATATCACATTTGATATATCTCTATTCAAAACGAAGAGCTGAACAACATGGGTGGGCTTGTTTTGATATACGGCGTTGCTCCGCGGCACTGCTTCTCTCAGTCGTATTGTTGCAGTGACTCATGACTCCGCTCACTCAGGAGACGCTTTGACAAGCCGTTAACACACTGATATCCCTCCGCGAATATTAACATTATTAATGTTATTTTCTTGAAGAAAAATAGTGTCATTTGTTTTTTGCTTGTTTTTAAATACACACAGAAGACATGCTTTTATATAGTAAAATAAAAAATAAAATAAGATATGCACAAGGTTGTAATTTTGATAAAAATATTTCGAGGGCGGAGCGGATGGCGCTACTTCTCGCGGTACAACCTCTTCCGGTCCTCTTTCCAGCTTCCCGTGCAACATGGTGAGTGTGTGTCAGTGGCGGCCGTGTGGCAAAAACGGAATAAACTGTCATTTTATTCGAAATACCGCACATATTTCTCCCTCTTTAGATATTTTAATCACACAACTATAACACAAGGCTGGGAATAGTCGTTACACGTCACCCGGTGTGATTAAAAAAATAGTTTGGGCCTAATGCTAGCTGTTAGCATGCTAACCGTTTTTGTGCATGTGTTCCTGTGAAGTGGAAAATGCTTCTGTTAATGTCCGGAGAGACACAGCGAAGACATCTGGATTCTGGATGTGTCTTAGTTTCTCTTTATGATGTTAATTTTGCGTCAATTAAATAAAAAACCGGCAAAACTTGAGATGACCTATGTTTTTTTTTTAAAGCCTGTAATTCAATAGCAGCCGGTCCGAGACACTGAAGCTATCAGACATTTAATGATCCTCCGTTTTAAATAAATCCGATCAGATACAGAAAGTAATGGACGGCAGCCACTAGACCAAATACTGATAAAACGTCTCCTAAATTACATAGATCTTGTATTGGATTGGACTTAGGAAGTGTAGGAGTTTGTCATTTGATACCCATGTTATGCTGTTGCACGTTAAAAGCAGTATTAGAAGTTAGTTAAAGGATGTCAGAAACTATGTTAGACTGTACAACCTAAATTCTAATAAGTACTTTATTTTTATCAAAGCCCATGGGAAAATATGGTGTTGGCTTGAAAGCAGTAGAGGTTATACCCAAGTTCTGATAAGGATATCTGCAAAATGTTTACAAGTTAAACTATTCAAAAACAGCATCCACACAGAAAAGCATTGTCTAAATGTCTTATTCATTTTATTAAATTTGCGCCAGCTTTTGATATTTGACAGTTTCCATTACCCAGTGCTGCTGATGCATTGATCTGTACCAATGTATTGATCAGTACCCAATCCTAGTTGTCGGTCCATAACTTGTATCATTCTGACCTTGGCATCTCTTTTACAGACCAAGAAAAGGAGGAATAACGGTCGTGCCAAGAAGGGCCGTGGGCACGTGCAGCCCATCCGCTGCACCAACTGCGCCCGTTGCGTCCCCAAGGACAAGGCAATCAAGAAGTTTGTCATCAGGAACATAGTGGAGGCGGCGGCCGTGAGAGACATCTCAGAGGCCAGTGTCTTTGACTGTAAGTGTATCTGCTTTGTTTTTTTTGTCGTACGTCATCATAAACTGTTAATGTATTTTGATCCTGGTGGCTTGTTCTCATCTGACACTTTCTCGACTGTTTGCTCTGCAGCTTACGTCCTGCCCAAGCTCTATGTGAAGCTGCACTACTGTGTCAGCTGTGCCATCCACAGTAAGGTGGTGAGGAACCGCTCCTGTGAGGCCAGGAAAGACCGCACCCCACCACCCAGATTCAGGCCCGCTGTGAGTACCTTCTACAGCCCGGTGCTGTTTGTCAGATCTGTTTAATGAAGCTATAAATTATTTTAAAGTGGATAATGTGACTTGTCATAGCTTGAAAAACAGGTGGAACTAATAACATTAATGATGGTTTTGCAGATGAGCCAGAATCTGAATATAATGCAGTCTTTAATGTTATTAACACCTGTTTGAGAAGTCACATTATCTATCTAGTCACAGTGATAAGGGTCTACATCAGACATCAATCTAATTTTATTGTTTTGTTTGTTTTTTTACAGGCCGGTGCACCAAGAGCTCCCCCAAAGCCCATGTAAAGCAGAATTTGAAAATGCTGTACACCTGAAGAATAAATTGAAAAAGTCTTTACAAAAACTTTAATGTGTGAAACTCATTATTCATAACGAACATGTGTTGAGTAGTTTTAGGAAAGACAGGCCTGTCAAGTATTTTATTTGGAATAGACTTTCTTACAGTACAAAACTTACAGTAGTTTAAGTTCGAATTACGCAAATGCATAATTACATATGATACATTTAAAAAGGCTCTGCAGTTATTTAAAGCGATATCAGACCATTTACAGGAGTGGGGGAGGTTAACAAAGATCATAAAACTGAAGGGAACAAACAGTGTAACAAGGAAAACATTTGAACACAGAACTGGAGTTTTCTAAAATGTAGTCTTGAATTGGAGTAGAAAGTTTATTTGGTTGTCCTTATGACTAAAACGGAAAGATGTCTGGGTGCAGGTTGAGCAAACAGCATTGGTATGACATGCATCAGGGTTAGAAGCACATTACTGTCTAGTGTTGCACAAACGAAAAAAATCTGCAGCTAAACTCAACTTGTGAGTGGGAAAGAGGGCTGAATCTTCCCAGATGGGGAATTTGTTCGCACTTTGATAAAGAACTATAAGCTAAAAAATACAGATTTTGAAGAAGATCAGCTAGCTCGTGGACTGTGGACTGGAGTCTGAGCTGCTTTACCACATTTTTACAATGTCACACTTGAGGAGAAACAAATAGCTGAGTGTTCGGGTCTACAGGAAATTATACACATTGTATAGTTGTTTCTTTGGCTCCTAGCAATCAGCGTTACCAAAGTCCTGTTGTTCTTTTGGTGGATCTATTGGTCAACTGGTTGTAACAATGATAACTGGTTCTGATTTTAGCTATAATCCACAGCTGCTGGGAAAAAAAAATAATATGCCTTTCGTGATGTGCAGTATTTGCACCACAGGATTAACAACTGACAAACCAAACTTTACACTTCAAATGTGAGAATTTTAACTTGAGAGAAAGAAATGCAGGAAAGACTTCAAGCCAAAGGCACAATAGTAGTCTACTACACTGAAATCACACCGGGGCTCTTGTGAAGATACAAGTTGTTGCCCAAATCAGAATATACACAATGAAGTAAGATGTAATCGACTGGTCATGACAACTTTGGTGTCTAATCATTTTCATTGACGTCACACTGTCAATGTTTTCTAGATCAGTTTGCAGGAAACTACAATTCAAGATTGTGTGACATGTTTGATAATTTAACAACAAATGTCTGTCCCAACATGGCCTAACAGTCTCTATTCTTATATTAAGGCAAGATAATTTGATTTTTAAATGAAACCAACTTTGGAAGAGAAAAATCCACCAATTTAAGTTTTGTGTTTCTATACTGGTGAGAAAATCACCACAGTGCATTGTCTCTACAGGTTACTCTTTCTCATTTAAATCTCATACAGCAATGTGCACCAAAGCCAATTTTCTAACCTTTTATTTAACAAATGTAGAATTTATATAGAAATTATTAAAACAATAGGGGAAACCCTTCGTGATCTTTTCTAAATGTCTTCTACAAAGAGGGAGATAACCCCTGGAAAAAAGGGTCATTTCAACATCTACAAGGATTTACTGACAGCAATGAACAGGGAAATATTACCTTGAAGCATCTTCCTAATTCAAACTGCATGTACAAATATATTAGTTTAACTTAATTTTGCCACTGCAATAGGGAAAAGTGCTTAACAACAGGTGGTACTGGTTCTTTGGCTCAACCATGGGGGAACCATTATTTGGTGCTATACAGAACCACACTCACGGTGATCTAAAATTAATATGAAAACCAAGTACTTTTTTATTCCTTCTCATAAAAACAGTATTTCAGAGCATCTGCACATCTAGACCACCAATTTAAATGTGAGATTCCACACAAGATAGAGTTCAGTATACAGAACCAGGGGAACCATTCACAACACTAAAATCACCTCAAATATCCATTTTAAGCCGTGAATGCTTCAGTGGTTTCTGTTCAGCCTGCAAAAGACTTCTGAAAAGCAACATTTGTTGATGCTGAAAAAATCTAAACTTTTATGAAATAATGTGAAAATACCAGCTTTGATACACATAGGGACTTGTTCAATAAGCAATCTGCACTGTACAAAAGTCAATGGGTCAAGTCAGCTGATGATTTTGACTATTGTTAGTATTTTTCTAGCATTTTTGGCTTTTGTGGCTATTTATAATGGCGTACATGGATACACATCTCATCTACAAATGTCCTATTCATCCAATTCTGTAATCTTAATTTAACAAGTTAGCCCGCTGGACAGTATAACTGATTGTGCTTAAAGTGTTTGAAGTCAGATGTTGACGTGGAGAGACTGTCTCTATTGTTTTAACATGTAAACAGACAGAATCAAGAGCTGACAGCGTTCCTTTAACTCACACATTTCTCTCGACATACATTTCATATCGGCACCATATAACCAAGACAGAAGAATTTATCACAAATCACACCTGACAAAACCGATTTTGAAATAAACATGTTTCACTCTACTGTCACATTAGTGACTCTGTGGACTCAAATGTGTTCAAATAAAATAAAACATCTTTTTTTTGGATTTCACCTGTGAGGACGGAAGTAAACTGCCACTCCACACTGCACTCATTCATGTCATAGCAGCATGTGCCAAATGCCATGCACATTTAGTCTTTGATAAATTAGCAGAATTGGTTCTTTGCTAACACATTAAGGAAAATCAATCCTAATTTTGTTAAATAGGAGGAAATAAAGATTGTGCAAAGCTATAAGCCAGAGACTTTATAGTGTCTGAAAAACTTTACTAAGTAAATTATTTTGTATCTCTAAAATCACCCACAATTTTTCAAAATATGACCGTTGGTAGTTCATGTCCTTCAGTCTGGTCAACGAGGTGTGATCAGGGTGAAGAAAGGCACAATACGATGAGATAGAACACCAAAATATTTTTTTTAAATATAGCATAAATAGATTAGTGTTGGTTTGCAGTTTGATGTAGTAATGAAAGGGAAAATGTTAAAGACTCTTAAAGACCCTAACCACTTAGTATTCTTTCACTAACTGTGGCAGTGATACTCGTACTCCTTTCCTAGTGAGAAAAACATTTTCTCACATTTTGACAGAAATGTGCAGGTCATTAATGTATTCCATAAAATAGTTTAATATAATCATAGTATTCTGGCAGGTATCAGTGCAACAAAAGCAGTCATAGGAAAGAAAAACAAATATCTCATACATTGCCCCACATGGGCATTCACACAAAGGCCTTCATTTTCCACTTTACTTATTCAATTTACTTCCAAAAAAACAGAGACACACACACACACACACACACACACACACACACACACACACACACACACACACACACACACACACACACACACACACACACACACACACACACACACACACACACACACACACACACACACACGAGAGAGATCTGTCCATCCCACCCCGTTAAAAACAAAAGTGCAGTTCTAATTCACGGACAACCCCTCAAACAGATCTATTCGACTTGGACCTGGTCTCTGAGTTTGGTCTGCACTTCACTTCAAACTATTGTACAGAATCAACCCCAAGTTGGAAAACAACATTGTTTGTTAGGTAACCTTTTCACTGAATTAATGCTTTTAGAACAAGGCATTAAAACCTCTACAGACTCCACTGTAGGTACGCCTGTAAACTTCACATTACGTTTTTTACATTTTCTCTGTTAAAGTGCACAAGATGGGAAGGTTTACAGGTTATGGACAAAAGTCAGATTTGTCTACCACAATTTGTGCATCAGGTTTGAATCCTGAATTTTGGAGCAAGGCACATCTGCGGATAAAAAAGTGCATTGGCTCTCAATCTACTTTAGAATACATTTGATTAAAAGAGCATTTTAAATGGATTCATTGTTCAAAGTGCATTGAAAATAACAAGGACCACTGTTATAATTGGAGAAACACAAGTATGAGCTTCTCATTCATGTTGGTACATGTTAACTGTACCATTGCCTGTTTCATATCATCGGTGTCTCCCTTAGCTCATGTGCAGACCAAACCCAGCCAGGTCCTTGTCTCAGTGTAAAAATAGCTCTAGGTGAAGCAGGTTGTCCACCCTTTATCCTCAGTCGAGGATGTGCTCCCCACGGACGATGTGTGAAGAAAATTCATAGCGGTCTTGGCTGCGGTGGCCACAGATGTTACACTCAAAAGGCTGGCGGAAACCGTGGCAGCCCATGTGGATGGTAAACATGACATGGTCCAGGAAAAGCACACGACAGTGCTCGCAACGAAAAGAGCGCACAGCTCGCCCCTCCCCGTCTACAACCCGAAAAGCCTCCCTAGAGGTGGAGGAGGGCGCTGTAGGTGAGCTGGGAGTTGCCGCGAGGGCAGGAGGTGGGAGGGCTCCAGAGTGGCCTCCATCTTCTCTTTCCACCTCCCTGTCTTTGGCGTGACTGGGACTGTGTCTGTCCCGACTCCTGTGGTGTGCAATGGGAGGAGGCGCCGTGTGATGGTTGTTGGAGTGGAGAAGATGATGGCCATTGTTACTGTGCAGAGTCGGAGCAGTGCTGTTGCACGGCTCGTCTGGCATGCTCTCTGTGTCTGTAGAGTCCTGGCAACCGTTGCTAGGTGATGGTGCGTGACTTCGTCCAGCAGGCAGGTCTTCATGACCCTCTGCTGCCTCTCTCCCCCCTGCACCTGCAGCTCCCAGCCCAGCTCCAGTCCCTGTACAATCCAGCCTCGGGCCCAGAGCGACAGGGGTGTGAATGGAGCTGTGGATGGGCCTGAGTTCTGATAAACATGAAGGGTGAGAAAGGTGTACAGGTCTCAGTGTGTCTGATACCCCGCCTCCTCCATTACCTGCTACACCGGCGTATTCACCTCCCAGACCAGTAAAGTGCGGGGATTCAAGGTCCCCTGCGTGCATCTCCCTGTCTTTATCCAAACCAGTGCTGAGCTCATAAGGTGCGTCTGCAAGGTTGAGGCGTATGTGCTTCTGTCCTGCAAAAAATAAACACAATCTTATGACACTGTTCTATGGAAGTCTATGGAAGATGTAAAAACTGCAACTTTAAAAAGAAAAAAGATTACTATGGGGCAGGCAGCTTGCCCAGGTTAGATAAGACAAGATAGATAAGAGTTCAGGGGAATGTAGTGCAAAGAGTAAAGAAAGGGAATAAAATAAAATATATACACTATATAGAATAAAATGTAATAAGTAAGTAATATAGTATATCTGTACAGGTGCAATGTTTCATTGGTAAATGACTATCCTGCCAAGTTTTTTGGATTCATTCTAGCTGCTGTAATTAGGTTCGGAAGTTATCCAATCAAGTTTTAATTTAATTTCCTTCCTTAAATCCCAAAAGCATTTTATTTATATAACTGGACTGGATTCAGATGGATACCATCAAATCTGGTCAAAGGTCAAACCTGTTCCTCCAGACAGGGTGGTAGGACAGAAGAAAACAAAATTGTGATTGTTTAATTATACTCTTTGCCCTGAGCCTGTATCCACTGTTGTATTGATGACAATTCTCCAGCACCAGCTACATGTGAATGTAATCAATAAACGTTAAAACAAAGCACAGACGTTCCTGATTCACTTTGACATTTGGTTTGAATCTCTGTCAAATCATACGGCTTGGATACATAAAAAATGTAAAGCGTGGTCACATCACCAGCACAAAACGATCAGTATGATTGTGGGTGGTATTCAATTCAAGCATTTACTGCTGTTTTCGCTGTTTTGTCAACCTGTCCACACTGACACCAAATGCTCACCTACAAATTTTTGTGGTGTGGATCTCTTGCGTTTGGTGATGCTGTTGGCGAGCCGATCGATAAATGCCATCTTGTCTGAGGATGGCTGCAGTAGAGAGTCTGGTATAAACTCTAGCTCTCTCATCTCCTCTCCTGCACAGAGTACAAACAAATTGTAAAGTTATTTTTGGAGGGTTTTGCGTTACCTAAACAGCATTTATCCCAAATGTTTAAATAAATTGTATGCTGCTTTTTTAGTATAATCTAAAACAACTATTGGAAAAGAAACTAAGTGAGGGGTATTGACTACATCATCTCCATGAATGCCATAAACCTTACCTGGATTCTGTGCACTGGATGGCTGCTGCGACTCCAGACTCTGCAAGTAGCTGTGGCAGCGCTCCCGGTGCTCCTCCAGGGTGCTCTGCTGCTTGTAACTACGGCCACAATAACTGCACTTATACGGCTTCCCAACGGTTGGAGAGGACACTGGGGACAAAGTGGGAAGATAACATTGTTAGTCATTGTACGCTATCATAAGAAAAAAACGTTATCACGCTTAAATCTCTCCCACCTGCATGAGTGCGAAGGTGGCCAGTAAGCGCATCTCTTCTTCGACAGGCATAGCTGCAGAAGGGACATTTAAAGGGCTTCTCCCCTGAGTGCAGCTTTATGTGGCGGAGCAGGTTACCCTTTTGAGTGAAGGAGGCACCACACTGATTACACTGGAATGGTCGCTCACCTGAGGATAGATCAAACCTGTCAACCCAACTTCCAAGTACATCTATAGTATCTGGCACATAGGGCCTCAAGCAAAATGAATCACTCTCACAAACAGAGTTGTTCTTTAGTGCCACATATGACTGATTTAAGAGAATTTGTGGCATTCACCAATTTTGTAGCATAGCAATTTATTCATTTCACTTATTTCAATTCTCTCACTTGCTTAGCTGACTTAGTCCTAATGCAGGATCATCCTCTGTTGCGCCTGAAAGTCACCTAAAGCAGGCAAATCTCTCGTCTTAAGTATCCCCATGACAGTCTTTCATATTACTCAGGGACCTCTCTGCTTTAGAAAATACATTTTCACCATTCCCCCTTTATTTCTGTCACAGTATGGTGCTGCTCTGATGACATACCGCTGACAGCTGTATTAAAAGGTCTTTTTTTATATTTTTGCCCTTATTCAATAGGACAGGTGAAGAAAGACAGAAAAGGGGGGAGAGTGAAAGAGGGGAGACGACATACACCAAAGGGCTTCAGGTTGGAATCGAAGCCAGGCTGTTGTGTTAAGGAGCCTACATGGGGCGCGTTCTCTACCAGGTGAGCTATCGACTTGGACAGGTTTAGAATAAGAATATGAAAATGTTCTTATTCTTATACCCAGAATCATTTTGTAAGGACTTGTGTAGGAGACATAATCACAATTTCCATTCCAATTTTAATGCCAAAACCCCGTGTTCTGTATCTGACCTAATCTCTTAAACAAAAAGCAAACTGAAAGTACGTTTTCTCAAAGAGAAGGTTTATCTAAACTAAACTAATCAGTCACCTGTATGGCTGCGTTTGTGCACCATGAGAACATTAGGTCCAATGCAGATCATTCCACAGATGTCACACTTGAGCTTCCCATTTGGCATTCTGGTGGCTCCTGTTGGCATGATGTCAGGATTGGTGGGCTCCCTGTAGACTCCGACAGCCTCAGATCCCTGTTCTGGACCCCCTTCCTCTACCCGCTCCCCTCTTTCATCTTCAGTACTGCGACCTGGGTCTTCATCACTGTACAGCTCAACTTTAATGGAGTTGGCTACAGAGGCAGAGATGCAAACATAAAGAGGGTCTTAAATAAACCAGCATGTTGCCAAGGTTAGATGTCATTACTGAGGGCTACCTCACTAACTAAATCTCAGACTGACAACACTGGATGTATGAAATGTAATTGGAAGAATATAGTAACAGAAATGTTTGTACACCTTTGCACAACCTTTTAAAACATTTGGCATATCACAGTAATTTTAGATATTACTGTGATATGTCAAATTATATTTTTGGAACTAATCAAGAAGTAACTGGTGAAATAATTAAGATTTGTGGATTTGATTAACCATCCCTTTCATGGGATTCTCACTGACCACTGAGGGAGCGACTAGGAGAGGTCTCCTTGCTGTTTGGGGTGCTCACTGTTGGACCTCCAAGGGCCCCAGAAAACTCTCTTTCCATTGAAGAGTCTCCACTAGCTAAAACCAAAAAGGAAGAAAAAGCATGATCTGTGATTTGATTAAAATGCCAACGGTTGAAAGTAAGTATATTTGTGATTTCATAAACCAGAGTCCTACCTGATATGTAAGACCGGCCATTGCAGTCCTCAACATCCATACTAGTTCAAGCTGAATACTAAAAGGACAGTTATGTCACAAGTTAAGATCAATCTGGACTATCTCTCTCACACATTCACCCAGGGACCGGTTAATTCAAAAACATCTAAACAGAATTACAATCAACTGTGTAATTACCCCAACACTGCAACCCCATTAATTAATCAGAAAAAACATACAACAGTTACATCTATAAGTCCAATTTGACACCTTATTATAAAATGATGCACGACAAGTTAAATTGGCATTTCCACAAGTTCACAATTTAAAAGGGTTTCAATGACCAAAACATGAACACAAAACCACAGAAAGCTGGCGTAGATGTCAGCAACTACAGTTAACTTGTTGGTGTGAGTTTGAGTCTCAACTGGACCAATATTGAACTGTAACATTAGCTCCTAGCCACAGTAAATATGTTGAAGATTAGCTGATGTAACGTTAGGTGAGAGAAAATATCTAACGTTAACTAGCAGCTAAGTTAGCTCCAAGTCTAACCGTAGCAGCCTCAGATCAGCTGATGGACTCAGTTACAATTGACCCATGACAACATTAATAAAGTAACGCTTAAGCTATTAATGTTCAGCTAATATAACGCTAGGCTCATCTGAAACAAATCAGTCTGATATTCAGATCGAAACAGAGGAAAACAGCGTTTACTTTGACGTTTACATAACGATGGCGTTGGGGTAACCCAAGTTTACGGGTCGGCCTTGGTGGCTAACGTTAGCCCACTGCATGTGATGGAAATTACCGTTAGCCAGGTTAGCCACACCGAGCACTAGCTCCAACACTTTACTGCCCTCGACAGCTTACTAAAAAGCATGGAGCAAAATTAAGTAACAGGGGCGATGACGCCAAGTAACGTTATACAACGCTGACTTGTGACATCACTTGGCTGACTAACGCTAAATTGTACATTCGCGTTTCTACGGCGTCTTGTTTAACGCTAGCATAACAAACCAACGTTAGCCTGAAGTTAGCCACCACGGTCAATGTTTCCTCAACGGTTGCTATGGCACCCACCGCCTCCCAATGCTATGGCTAGCCAGCTAGTGGTTAGCTACCTAGCTTGCTCCCCCCCCGAATTGAAGCCTTGAAGCTGACTTTAAAAACACAACACAGCGGAGGCAGTGTACTATAACAGTAGTATAATAATTGTCCGGTTTCTCCCAGTGACATTACCTGTCCCTGTCAGGGCCGCTTCAGTGAGGTTATTCCGTGTTTTCATCTGCTTGTTTATGACGGCAGCATCTCCCGGTAGCGTTCACCTCCAGCTCCAAACCATTTCCGGTTACATTTCCAGTGTGGCCGCATGTCAACCACCACCAGCAGCAGCAAGAAATGAATGAATCTGCATAAAACATATACTAAACAACATTAATGTGTAAATAATTCAGCGCGTACACACACAAACAGCCATCACGGACACAAATAGACTGTGTTTTATTTGTATAGCTGTCTTCTTCAAATTTAAACTTATGCATTAATTGTTACTTTAAAGCTGCAGTAGACACTATTTGTTTGTGGTGGCTCCACAGCTATTTTAAAGTTCTTTTAAAAAGAAAAAAATACTCCATTCATTACTGTATGTTGTACACATCCAACTTGTTACTGTTGGTTAATTCATATTGAACCAAACATATTCTTTCATTATGATGCTTTACTGTCAGATCTTTTACTTAAGTAAAAAATAGTTACACCACAGTGTAAATATACTCCATTACAAGTAAGACTCCTGTATTCAACATCTCGTAAACGTATTAACATCAAGTACTTAAAGTGCCACAAGTAAGAGTACTCATAATGCAGAATAGGCCATTTCTGTATAATATTATATCACTGGATTATAATAAGTGATGTATTCATGTGTAATCATCACTTACTTTGCAGTTGGAAAAGGTGGATCTTATTTTAATTTCTTTATACACTGTTGGGTAGTTTAACCTGTAATAACACAATTTATTATTTATCTATATTTTGTATTAATCCGCAAAGTAACTAGTAACTAAAAGGCAGAGGAGTAGAAGTATAAAGTAGCATAAAATGGAGATACTCAATTATAATTTTGTACTTGTACTTATAGATCCCCTGACATGTATTAAGACATATACAAATAGTCTGCTTGGAACAATAAGGTGTGTCTCAAAATTTCCACATTAAAATCCTTAAAAAGGGCATCTACTACTTCTACCTCATTAAACATTTAAGAATCTGTGAATATGCATATTTTGTTTGTTTTCCTGCTGCACACAGACAGACGTCTCCCACTTCACTGGAAAGTCCATTCTCAGTGATTGTGCACTGGTGGCTTCAAGAATCTACATCACACTTGTATAAATTGCATATTGGACCAGGGTTGACCTGCAAGCTTTTTGTGATGTCACAAATCACAATGCTGGTTGCCCCGCCCCTTAAAAATCTCGATGATCAGAGAGAAACTTTCCACTTTTAGCAAATGAATGTGAGAGCATTTCCAACAAAAACAAAGTGATTTAAAAAACCTGAAAAGTTGGTTCCTATCTAGAACCAGGAGATAGCCGGTTTTCCTTGCGGCGTGTCATATTCTACAGGTCGTTGTGTATTGTGCAATGCCCTCTGATTATGCCTCTGATTATTGTGGTTCCACTCAAAATTAGATAACACCAAGGTTTCCAGAATCTTGAACAGAACTGGATTTAACTAATTTGGTGAAAAAGAGGCCTCAGTGTTCAGACTGAAAGCGTTGTGAGTTAAACTGTACTGTACACCGCCTGTGTATTCTCCACGGGTTTATACATGCCTCCCAACTGTTGAGTGGCGCAAGGAGGAAGTGAGCTATATCCGGTGCACTGTATGACTTCACAAACACAGCTTTTGCTTTCTGTGGACTATAAGTCGTCAACTTATTTCACCCCGTTTCATCCTTTGATCTATTTTTATCGTCTACCTGAAGTTTTTTATTCAACTACAGTACGATAAGTTCCAGCAAATAAGGTAGGCTATGTGCGCTGTTTGTGTCTTCAAATGTGGTTCTGGATCAGGGTCAAGTATTCAGTTACGGTGTTAGTCTACCGATTAATATTTCTACTACTGTTAAATATAATTTCAAGTTAAGGTAGTGGATAAGTCACATAAATGAGTTGATTATTTCTAATTTGGACTATTACATGGAGAAAACATTTAATACCACAGATACAATTTAAGGCAGAAACACATGAACTTCTATTTTGTACTAACAGTCATTTCTTATATGTTAGATGAAATATTTTCAGACAGCATTTTGGTAAGTTATTAAGATTTGGGTGTTTACATAACACATCATTTAAAGTGTGATGGGTTCAGTTGATTGTGGCTACTTTTTGTGCTTCCATGCTCAGTAACTTTATAAAAATGTCCCCAAGTGGCCTCAGACTTTATACAGTGATATATGGCTTCCAATATTTTCTGTCTCATTGCAGATCATGGACAAGCTGAAGTCAGCAAAGCAGGACGTACTTTCTTCGCAGCCTCCAGGTGACCTTGATTACATCCTTAAACAGTGTCTGAATATTCTATGAATGATTAGAGGAACAGAAGTAAAGCACATTAGACAAGATGAGTGCTTTTGGAAATAAAATTCCTGTATACAGCTGTTGTCTGTATGGTATATATTATCAGTGAGCCTCAACATTGGATTAAATTAAGACAGAAAGTTTCTCTTTTTTACAAGTACAGGTTTTCAGAAAGACACAACTTATAATGATTGTCATTAATATTTACAGGGCCACCCACGGTGGTTGCTGATGGTAACAGTGTTGTGACCATCAGAGAAATACGAAATGTAAAAGCAAACTCCTTCTCCATGACAATCGAAACTGAGAGTGATCAACGACGTCGTCCATCTGGTGAGAATTCATATTTTCAAGCATTCCCTGTAGTATGAAAGTTGTAAAATAAATTGCTGCACTTAAGTTAAGCGTGTGGCTGTTCTTGTTTTAAAAGTAAAAAATATCATACAACATTGCTTTGGTTTGAGCATTTTGAAGACAGAATTCTGATGTGTATTTTTAACATATTTCTATGTATTTACTTAGGGAATGTTGGACAAGCTGCCCCAGCAGATTACAGTGCACACGATGGCAGTGTAATATGTGCTGACACAATATCCGATGTCACTACTGACTGCAATATTGATTTCTCAGTGAAAACATCATCATCATCATCATCACAAATACGTGCAGGTAACATTTTGCCAACTTTTTACTAGTAGTCCATTATATATTTGTCTTTTTTCAGTCTCTCATTCACGAATCAAAGCAATGAAAGACAACTTTCTGTGAGGGTAAATTCAGTAAATCCTATCACTGTTCTTCTCTCAGGAACAGAAGATGAGACTCCGTCTTCCTCTCAGGTTGAATACATGCACATTCAATAGTGGTAAAACCTTTCCACAGTAGGAAGCACACTGATAGGTTAGCTGGCAGGTTTTATACACACAATCCTTTATGACAGCTTTACAGTACATGTATATCAATGAACTGTTGTTTTAATGATTGATTAGCCAATTTGTCTACCTTCTCATTTGCTTCCAATATCCATTAAAAAATGACATGTTTTTCCCCTTTTTTGGTCAGTTTAGTCTCTTCAGTTTATGTTAAATTGCATATTTTAACAGTTTGCTGCCTCTTTTGGGTAATTAAAACCCTCCTTTTGAAAATCCACCTGTGACTCATCATGCCTGTCAGCTCCTGTAACACTGTAACAATTGCAACATACTTGGTATGTACATACTTTGGTTTTTGTACGGATTAAACAAAAGAAATATAATGTGTTAGTAACCTTTAGTGCTGGTAGGCCTGACTGTTTCCAGTCTTTATGCTAAGCTAAAGTTTAGCTCTAGTTTTATAATTACCAGAGTGCGTAGGAAAAGTGACAGAAAAGTCAATTAATTTAAGATATTCTGCAGCTCAGTTAAACAGTGAAACCCTCATTCATTTATCATTCTCTAAACAGAACTTGTTGTCTTTTACAGGGCCCTGCTGTAAAAATTATCACTGAGCACAAGGTGGAACTCATTGACTGCCTGATGGCGGATCACTCCTTCATTCTGCAGCACGTACATGCCAAACATATCATCACTGACAGACAGTATCAGTATATAAAGCATATCTCACAGCCAGAAGACAGGATTACTAACCTGATCGATCAGGTGATTTGTAAAGGTCAAGAAACCTGCTCTTCTTTTCTTGAAGTTCTCAAACAACCCGATGTTCTGAGGACTTATCCACAGCTCAAACACATTACAAAAAATGGTGCTAAGTAATGTTTAGTGCTGGGGATATTAATGTAACTGAAAAACAGACAATTGGAGGCTAAATTTGTGGATATGGGGAACAACTATACTACTATATCTATCTTTTTTTTTTTGATGAAAATCATGAAATCAATGTATGCAATTTTGGAAAAATAAAAATCCCAGAATTACAGACTACGGACCTCATTTATTATCTGTCACTGGGTGTCATATTAATCAATTCTGACTGGATTCTCCTACATGAATAAACACATGTAACTAAAGCTGTCAGAATAATGTGGTAAAAAGTACAATATTTACCTGTGAGGTCCATAAGACGTATAAAGTAGCAGGAAATAGAAATACTCGAGTACAAGTACAGTACTTAGTTACTTTCCACGGTGATATTTGAACAGTGTGCTAAATGTAATGAGTGTTTGAATTGTCTCATATTAACCAGTAAAGATATGAGGCAATCATTAGCAGATATTTGTGGGAGAAAGGACTCTGGTGTTTACCTTGGATGTTTCTTATGAGGCCATATCATTGTCCAGAGAGTTTTCATTCACAGATCCATTTTTATTTTTTATTTTTTCTCATGATTTGACAAAAGAAGAAGAAGATAGAAGAAGGTATATACTTTATTGATCCCCTATTGGGGGAAATTCTTTTTTTCACTCTTTTATTCTTACACACACAGGCTGAAATGCACACTTCATGCACTTGTGGACATGCAAACAGGGAGAGAGATGGTGGAGTGATGGGCTCACCACGTTAGCGGCGCCCATGAGCAGTTTCTTGGGGTTAGGTTGCCTTGTTCAAGGGCACCTCGGCAGTGCACAGGAGGTAAAACTGGCAACTCTCCAGGTACCAGTCCACACTCCATATTGTGGTCTGTGGGATTTATATTGACCATATTGTGGTTTGTGGGATTTAAACCAAGTCCAAGTCCCTACACACTGAGCTACTGCCGCCCCAAAGAGAATGTATTTTATCATGGTACCTAACTAAACTAACTAAAAGGTGAGATACACATCCAGTATCAGGATATTCACAGATTTTAACACTAAAGGTAGTCAGTTTAGGCATATTTGTGCCTAGACCTAACATATTAATGAAGGAAATAAATGTTGTGCATGAACAAACACGCTCCTCTTTCTATTTTATCACTTTTATTATCAAAAAAGATGTAAAGTTAAGTCTTTATTTACCTGAAGTGCTCAATGCCCACTGACAAGCAGAGATTTAAAGATGTCCATGCCCAGTAAAATGATATGGAGCCTATAAATTAGAGGTTTTATTTTACTTGTGGTTTTCACTACACATGATGAGAGGATAAGATAATGTGATGACTTAGGTCAGGGCAGATAGATGGTATGTATCTACACATAGTAGACATTTAACTATTTAATTTTCTAAAAACTAATCCCAACAGCATCTTCTCGGATGAGTATTCGTGGATCAATTTGGGTCTGGTGTGTTTACATTTTAACAATCATAAGTCGCACTGTTACATAAGGAAACAATGGAAACCCACTCTTATTTAAATGAAGGGCCGAGCATTGTGTCCTGAAGGTGAGTCTGGAAAAGAGTAAAAAAAAAGAGAGTGAGTCAGAAACAAAGAGTGACCTCTACTGTACACACACTGACCAGAGCGCACGGCCGTGTCAGCTCTGACGTACTCGCTGGTTTTACGACGGTGTGCTTACACAATGACAGTTTCCGTCACTTTGACTTGCAAATCGTAATCGCGTTGAACAAGCGGTTTTTTTTTTTTTTCGTTTGTAATTTCCGCTGGAACGACAATTTCACCATTTCAAACTATCGATCGATATCGATTACTATATCAGATACACACAGAGACCGATTTTCGAGACAAGTACAAGTTGTACTTGTTGTAACTTTACTTAAACTCTGAACTTCCAGCTCGAGGCCCAGCAGAGAGCTCGAGCGGCAGCTCCGAAAAGTTTGTTGTTGTCACGTGACGTGAGACGAATGTGGCGATAAAAGTTTGTTTAGGTAGTAAAACTAGGTGGCGTACTACATTATCAAACCCTATCGATCACCGTTTTCACCACAATGCCTCAACCAAAACATCGAAAGATTGCTGTTATAGGTTACAGGTCTGTAGGTGAGTAAGGCACGCGAGCTCGTGCACAGCTAATGTTAGTCAGCTAGCAGGCTAACATGCTAACATGCTAACGTCCTGGCTTTGTTTTCCTCCTGAGTGTATCCGACTGACACAAGTAACGCTACATTACCTTTGTTTGTCTGTCGGTGTGGTACATGTGTTGGCTGGGCAGTTGATTACTAAACTACAGTAAGATCCCAGTGAAGCTGTAACCATCTGTTGGTAGTTTTATGTTCTGTGGAAATAAAAGTTAGCTCAGCCGGTGGCATCGAAACTTTTAGCCTAGCACATTAAACATAACAATGTAATGTTCATAATTTAAGGAAGTCAGGCTGCAATATTTCACCTCCATCCAGTTGCTTATATTCTAAAATATCTTTATGTGGCCGTTGTTGTACTAACAGTGAAATCCTGGGACCCGTTTAGGACTTTGAGCTGTATTTAAAAAAACAACAACTTCCAGCTGTACTGCCACTGCAAGTTTTTATCAAACTTTATCACATAACTTATTCTGATAGCAGCCATTACCAAGCATTTAGATAAGGCCACACATTTTGATATGACTGTATAGAAAGAAAATGACCTCCTATATACACAGAGCATCACACATTGTTGTTGATCACTGTAGTGTACGGGTCTACCTGAATCCACCAAAGTCACAGGTAACACACTTTGTGACCCAGAGACACTATCTTTAGTCATATCTATCACAATTGAGTATGTGATTTTAATGTGATGAAAACATTTACTATGATAATATAGGTAACATTACTGATCAGGTCAAATAAATTAGTGCAGCGGTCTCGAACTCACAATTGTTTTGGGGCCACTTCTTGTATGGTCATTTCATACTTTGACCACTTCAATGTTCAATTACGACAAGAAAGTTTAATATTCTGATAACATTTCCATTACTAACATCATACTAACATACATACAAATAATGCAAACAGCAGTTTCTATACATTCTTATATTTGTTGTTCCCAGCCAAACAACAAAAGAACAACCAAAACCTACTCTTCCTATCAACCGTTCACATGTTTGCACTATGGGTGTAAAAAAATATCGAATCGCGATATTTTGTTTTGTGATATTGTATTGATTCTCAAAAACACTGTATTGATTTTTGTGTTTAAACCTCCAACCGTCAGAAAGCACTGTAAACAGAGAGCTATGCTGTTGGATCTTACAGGGGCCGTGATAAATACAAATGTAGACCCCCCAAAGTTAACTCTGCTCCAATTTTATTAATTTGGTGGTGTTGGTGCAGTTTTTCTAAAAAACCCCCCCAAAAAACACATTTTTAAATTACATTTAAAAAAACTTACATTTTTATTTTAGTCACTACAGTAACACATTGTGTAGTATTTGCTTGTTTTAAAGAAAGAGAGAGTTTCAACTTTGTATAAACATGATAGTAAAACAACCATGTTATGCTTCTTTGCCCCGCACAGGAAAGTCATCTCTTACAATACAGTTTGTGGAAGGACAGTTTGTTGATTCTTACGACCCCACCATCGAAAACAGTACGTGTCATTATTATGTTGTTTATAAGATATTGCAGCAAAGACAGTCACAATGGATTTAATGTGAAGAAATGTTTTGTAAAACTAGTTCATCCCTCTTCCCAGCCTTTAACAAATTGGTCAGCGTGAATGGTCAAGACTTCAATCTTCAACTTGTTGATACAGCTGGACAAGTAAGTTGTTCATGTGCCACGATATCTGACACAAGCACTAAACTCTTGGTTTTAAATCAATATTTCTGTTAAATCCTAACATTCAACCTTAGGCTTTGCAGGGATTATAAACATATACATAGATGTCAAATTGTCAAGTTAATTAACTAAAGGTGCCAGTTTGTCTAGAAGCTGTAGTCTTGTATGTCTGCCTCCATTTAATAATGCATTGTGTTTATTTACAGTCATACTTACAATACCTCTCTTCTGTCTGTAGGATGAGTACTCAATTTTTTACCAATCCCACTCAATGGACATCCACGGGTATGTCCTTGTCTATTCAGTGACTTCCTCAAAAAGGTGAGTGGATGTTTGTATTTTCATATCTGTATGAATGACTATTAGGTAGACAACATACTATATGTGTCGTAACAATTGATGCTAGGATTATGTCTTCACGTACATATTTTACCCTTCATAATACGTTATTCTTAGATCAAAAAGATTTACAAAGGTTGAATTCACTGTTATGTACACAAAGTGTGATCTAATGCCATATGAATTGTTATTTAAATAGGTTTATAATATTCAATTCTTTAATGCTGCATCAGAGAAGGGCTATATTAGGTTATATAATAATAGTAAGTTAGTAGTAAGTAACATACAGAATAGAGTTACATACTGAATAGTTTCAGATCTAAAGGTACTTTGATGTCTCTCTCTGTTCAGTTTTGAAGTTGTGCAGGTTCTACACGACAAGCTGCTAGACATGGTTGGGAAGATTCAGTAAGTTAGATGGATGTTTAAAATTTAAAATTGTCTTATTTGTTTTTCCAAGTGATTGTTTTTTTCAACCAGGATATTATTTTCTTTTTAGGGTCCCAACTGTTCTTGTAGGGAACAAAAAAGATCTCCACATGGAAAGGTAATCAAGGTTTTTGAATGTCGTCAGAATAGAAATCTGTTGAATATAGTTTATGCTACATATGCTGTCAGATTTTGGGCTTAAAATATGCATTAACACTTAGTAAACAACAAGTGTCATAAAAAGAGCAAAACCAATGATGAATCCTATGAACAAGTACATTTCTGTATAGCCAAAGCCTGATATATTATTCCTCTGTGATCTAGACCTGTTGTCCAAAAACAAATCATAAGCATTACAGTGTTTATTTTGATCTCATGTACACTGTCGTGCTGCAGTACTCATGTCGGATTGTAACATTTGCTAAAAACTACAGTCAAAATAGGATGAGGAAAGTCAGAAAGTATTATGAGACAAGAACACATTGTTGGTTTTGTTCTTTTCATCTTTTCCTTAAAAAAAGTACCACATTATTCTCTCTCTCAACCTTTCTGTTGCCACCGACTCAAATAATCCTTCAAAGCAGTGCTCTAAGTCAGTGTCTGTGTGTAATACAAACAAAGTTTTCTGTTTTCTTTTAAGTGAAGTTTCAATTTCATTTTCCCCAGGGTTATCAAGCCAGAGGAGGGAAAGCAGCTTGCTGATTCCTGGGGTGCTGCATTCATGGAGTCCTCAGCCAAGGAGAATGAGGTAATGATGGCGATCTCTTGGAATACCGACTCATCAGCGCAGTATGCATATTATTTCTGACACGGATTCACACTCTGATGACCATTTTCTTGCAGACTGCCGTGGAGGTTTTCAAGCGGATCATTTTGGAGATGGAGAAAGCTGATGGAAATGCACCCCAAGAGGAGAAGAAGTGTGCTGTTATGTAAAAGTGTATCCAGGACATCAGTAAGCTCGTTTGCTGAAGACAGGAGGCACAACTTCACCAGCTTGCCAATCGCGACCTCACCGACACCAAGACACTGCAGTGGAACTTTTCTGCTCCATTGTGATACCAGATTGATTTACATAGCACGGCAACTGCTACAACAGTTGATAAACTATTCCACCAAGTGTTATCACAGGGAGATGTTTCTTAGAGCAAGAATAATCTTTGTTTTAGACAAAGAAGCACCATCAGCGAACACTTTCTTTAAATACTGAAATGTAATCTATGACTGGGCCAAATCTTGACTTTGAAGTTCAACTAAATGCTCAGAAATCTAAATTATATTGCCAAACATACTGGTCTCAATGAATTGCATCAACATTTTTCATGAACATATTATAGCAATAACTACTTGTAAATCGGATGTTTGAGACACAATTGGCTTATGTCTCATAACTCTTTGAGTAGTTGATAGTAGTAAATGCACCGTAAGGAGTTTGTTAATGACCTTTTGAGGACTGGTATTATTTCAGCAGGTCTTTTTTCGACAGTGATGGATAGTCACAGTACACATTGCTTTAAATGTGGTGTTAAATATCAGTATTTCTCACAAATGGGGGATTTCCTTGAACACTCTGGAGTGAGATTTCACATAAGAAGTTTCACTATTGTTTCACAGTTCTTGTCACTGTCATTTTTATCAACTCATCTTCAGGTACCTTTCGCCAGTGAACATGTGAACTGTGTCTTCACGATGGAGGAATCTATATGTATATCTAACAACTTGCATTCTAAGCTTTTCTGCTTAAGCAGATTAGTCATCTTCCATTGTTTCTACAGTTTAATTTCTCCTTATGGACTGTAATAAACATGTTATCTTGTTGACGACCCTCCGAGAAATTTAGTATAGATATGAATAGATCTTTTGTATTTACCAGTAATGGCCTTTTTATACAATATAAATAGAATCCTAGAAATTGGTTTGATTGGTGCAGGTTTGCTCTCCCTTCAATATCTTAAGTATAGTATATGGTTATAAGTGCGTTATAATTATAAACACTGTTGAGTTGCAATTTTTTAATTGCATTTTAACACTGCGTAAGACTATTTAAATGGCCAAAGGCCACAGAGTTAGATTAGTAATTTTTGATCTCATGGTTTTGATTTGACCAAGCCAGGGTGGCGTGCAGTCCCTTTTAATTTATATTGTGGACTTGCATGATCACTGCTAGATACTTGAGATCCTTAATGACTTGTGTTTCTTAGATCCTGTAGCCTTAAAGACATGACACTTTGTGGATTTTCACCATAATCCTCATGTTCTACCTGTAGTGGGTTATTGTAACTTTTTATCAAGTGCTTTTGCTGAGTAAGTGGTTGATTGATGGATTATTGATGATGGTTGAAGAGAAGCTGGTGATGCTGTGTCTTGTGCCTTACAGTTGTTCAAACACCCCCCCTCCAAATCTGCTTCCCCTCACGACTCAAGGTGCTCTTAAAGGGTTTTTTGTTTTTCCTACTGTTGACTTGATACCATGGTGCAGGTGGTGTTGTGCACCTGAACACCAGTATTCCCTTTGTGGGTCTATGTTAATTCAGAAATCTTGCTGTAAACAGTTTTGTATATAAATAAATCTGTTACTCATTTCACGTCTCATTGATTTTGGCAGCATTGTTTAGGTAGTTAAAAGTAATGTTGTCTCTATAGTATATTACTGCACAGCTTACAGTGAAGTGGCTCTATGTACTACAATAACTGATTAGTTGTCATTGACTACTGTAACTTCACCTGCAACCTCATACACAGCAACGTACTATGGGGGATTAATCCGCGACCTGCTACCTTAGACAGCGGCGCGGTGACACTACAGGTATTACGGTAACACTACGGTGACACTACAGGTATTACGGTAACGACTGTACAGCCATTCAAGTTACTCATTGCAACTTGTAGCGGAAGACCAGTGTGTTTAGCAAGAGCCTGCCGATTGTAACCCGGCCACAGGAAGGCGACACGGCTAACGGAATATGGACTGTGTAAGTACGAGCTAACTTTGACTTGTGTTGATTGTTATCTTTCTGATAAACCCTCCACACACCGGTTAATTAACGTGACTCTCCGAAGCAATGCTAACGGTAGCAGCTAACTAGCTAATACTCGCCGGAGCTGGAGAGTGGGCGAGCTCACTTGTTACTAACTTCGGTTAAGGCACACCATTTCTTTCTTTTTTTTCTGTAATCACGGTTTCACCCCAGTGTCAGAGTACAGTCATTACTGGAACAAGAGAGTATGGCACATAATGGCTCACCAAGGTAACCGGAGCTGAAATGGAAAGTCACCTCGACTGGATCGTTAACGTCAACACAATGACGCTGGATTAGCTTGATGCTAACGCTTCGCTAGCGTTAACGTTACTTTTATTATGGTTTTGTTTCGAAACTGTGTCAGTTTTCTCACCAGGCTCTGTTAAATTACAGCAGTAGTGTCAAACGAGGAGTCTATTATTGCTGTTGACTCCAGTACACAGTCGTGTTCATGAAGCTAAAGCTCTTTGATGTTCAACTTTATCAGCCGCCTGCAGTAAACGTGGAAACTCTATAGTTGATCAACGAGATAAAGCCTGTTTTATTTGTCATATAAGTCTGTACTGGATAATAATGCAGTGTAGCTGTCAGTAAGACCTTGATGAATACACCTTTAGCTCGCATGTGTGGCTAACACAGTCCTACAGTAATGTTAGTCTAACGCTGAATGTAACAGTGAACATTATACATAAACATGTCAATGTTACCTAACCGCTAATTCTACACACTGTAACCCATAAAGCGTTATCCTCACTTGACAGGCCAATCAGAGATCATTTAGCCATGTTGTTATGCAGACTTTTGTTTATACTAACAAACAAACAACTCCAGAGCTTTCACATTCGTTTGGGAAGTCGCATAAACAAACTCCACTTTAATGACCTTTAATTGTTTCCTTTCAGATTCCAGTAACTATTGATGATCTTGAGGGTAAAAAGGACCCAGTCCCAGAGGGTAAAGGGCTTCTCATGAGACCAAACTGAGAAACAATGTCGTTTATAAATAGCAACCCAAGTGTCCTCAAAAGTGTCTCTGTCTCCCTCTCATTCCTTCAGACCCTGAGCACAATGTGTACACCAGGTTTATGAAGTCTCACCGGTGTTATGACCTCGTACCTACCAGCTCCAAATTGGTTGTGTTTGATACGTCACTACAGGTACAACAGAAGCTTTAAATCTAAAATAGAAATGTGTCTGTCATTAGCTACGGTAGACTGAACCCTTTTGGTGTGATTCATTTTACAGGTCAAGAAGGCATTTTTTGCTCTTGTGTCTAACGGGGTAAGAGCGGCGCCTCTGTGGGACAGTAAGAAGCAGTGCTTTGTTGGTAAGGGTCATTTTCACCTGGCGCACGTTCACTCGGTGTAAGACCGAATTAGATAAAGGACTGACTTTATTCTCCTCATGTGTCTCCACAGGTATGCTAACCATCACAGACTTTATTAACATCCTTCATCGCTACTACAAATCTCCACTGGTAAGATGAAATGAAATAGCACTTAAACTGTAAGATTAGATGAAACATATCGGGTCACAAAATTGAACTGCAGGACTTTTGTGTTGCTGAATGTGGTCTTTTCCTCTTATTAAGAGCTTCATGCATTGATTTCTCTCCTTGTAATCTCTCAGGTTCAGATATATGAGTTGGAAGAACACAAAATTGAAACATGGAGAGGTGAGAAGGTTTAATAAATGTAATGTATTTCCTATCATTTGCTCTGGTAATCCTGAAAGTCTTAAACTATATTGTCTGTTCTTGTTTATTACAGAGCTGTACCTTCAAGACTCTTTCAAGCCCTTGGTTAGCATATCTCCCAATGCAAGGTGAGTTGTTTTTGTTAAATTAATGTTTGGTTTGCAGGAGTACTTCCTGACATCTACAGTTTGTTGTTGGTATCAAATTTCACTTTCCTGAATACACGGGTGCTGCTTGCTGGGGCAAACAACTAGGGGCATCTGATGATTTAGCTTGTGGCAGTAACTCTTTAAAGCAGCAGCAGATGTTGTTGAGGAAGTACCCATACTGTATGTTTATATGTATCCTCCACACCTTATTCTTTTGTCCACATTCCCTGGAAATAGAGACAGACATCAAACCACTACCTGAATTTGCTTTTGTATAATTTTGATTTCTTTATTTTTTGATAGAAACTTATTAATAACGTGATGAAGTTTTTAATATTTCAGTTCCAAACCTTTTGTTTTCCAAATAAAGTTGTTTGGAAATTATGTTAAGTTTTATTATTTCAATATTTATTGTATGAATGTTACACAGCTTCCTCTTGAAGTTATTAAATTATTCTTTTGTCAAGACACCTTAAAAAGGATGTTAACAAACCCCTTACTTAACAAACTAACATTAGTATCTCTTAGCAATGTGTCCTTTTATTTTTTTATTTGGCTGTCTTATCTCACAACATGCTTAATGGAAAATAACTTGATTGACTCGGTCCTCTTTTAACTTCTGTGTGCCACAGTTTGTACGATGCAGTATCATCTCTGCTGAAGAATAAGATCCACAGACTGCCTGTAATCGACCCCCTGACAGGAAACACACTCTATATTCTCACACACAAGAGGATTCTCAAGTTCCTGAAGCTTTTTGTAAGTCCCTTTTAGCTTCTCTCCTCCCTACTACTACATTAAATACTTTAAATGATCTGCCGGAGTAAAGACCAGCTCCAGCTAAGGAAACAGTATATTTTATTTATATTTTTTACCCGGGTCAGTGTGCAATACACATGATTATTATGTTATTCTTGTAATTACTCAATAATTCCTTGTAATTATAACTTATTCAACACCACAATCTTAAACTCATGACTGTTTAATCTCTGTCAGCACATACTGTGGAATATGTTTACATTTACTTTGTATATAGGCTTGTATTATCTTATTATATCTCTCTTATTATATTTTTATTTTTACATATGTAACACATATTGTGTTCGATATTGTAATATAAGTATTATTTCTATTCTTTAACATGTGTGAGTAGAACAACTGTAACAAACGAATGTCCCCCTGGGGATCAATAAAGTATTTCTGATAAAGTTCTTTAAAAAGACAACCATTCCTCGACAGTTTCGATCAAGTCTTCACAATCTCTTGTTATTGTTTTCAGATATCAGAGATGCCAAAACCTTCGTTCTTGAAACAAACCATAGAGGAACTGAACATCGGCACATTCCAGAACATAGCAGTGGTCCGCGCAGACACACCGCTGTACACGGCGCTGGGCATTTTTGTCGATCAGCGGGTGTCAGCGCTCCCCGTTGTGGATGACAAAGGTATGTGGGCTGGTTGATATGACACCCTTGTTGATTTTCTATTAATGACCAGAAACCTCTTGAATTTAGTTTGTTTGTGTGCTGATATGCTGCCTCTCTTTTGCAGGTCGAGTGGTGGATATATACTCCAAATTTGATGTTATAGTAAGTTGTTATCTGTCAGTGTCTACTTGTCTACTTGCTTATAAGCAAATAGGAAAAGGGATGCAACTAACAATTATTTTTTGTATATTGGGATGTTAAATTACATATAGTGTGATAGAGGATTTATGCACTTTACCCAACTGTACTAAAGATGTTCATTTACTTTAATCTTGGTACATGAACCGCATTGCTGTTTTTCCATGAAACTGCAATTTAAAATGAACAAACATTTTTAACCTGAAGACCTGCGTTTGTTCAGAACCTGGCAGCAGAGAAGACGTACAACAACCTGGATGTGACAGTGACCAAAGCATTGCAGCACCGCTCTCAGTACTTTGAAGGAGTGTTGACCTGCAACAGACATGAGACCCTGGAGGCCATCATCAACAGACTGGTGGAGGCCGAGGTGAGGGTTGGATGCCGTTATGTGTCACCAAGAAGCTGTTTCCTGTCTCTTGTCTCTTGTGGCTGGTGTTGATTTGGGGTATTGCTGTTCAACCTCTGATAAACAATGTCTGAAATGTTCCTCCACACTTTACATTTTCAAACACCACCAGTTTTTCTCCAATTTTGCATTTAATACAAACTTAAAGGACCAGTGTGTAGGATTTAGTGGCATCTAGCAGTGAAGTTTCAGATTGAAGCTAACTGAACACCGCCGTTGTCTGTATTTGACGACCTGGGAATGAGAACGGGTTGTGAAGTGTGTAGGAGGAACTAACGTGAACTATTGTTTCCTTAAAAAAGGTGACTCAACAACTTTAACCATTACAAATAAAGTCACGTGTACATCTAATAGCAGATAAGATAACAGATGTCTATATTGGAAAGAAAAATAGACAGATAATTAGGGAGAAAACTATTTTGTAAAAGTATTGGTATTGCTCCTGTGTGTCTCTTTAGGTGCACAGGCTGGTGGTGGTGGACGAGCAGGAAGTGGTGAAGGGAATCGTCTCCCTTTCAGATATCCTCCAGGCGCTAGTGCTTACTGATGGAGAAGAGGGTAAATACAGTCGTATAACTGTTTAATATTATTGGAGCTTACATATACTGGAAGTATTTCAATGTAATCACTCACATATTTTTCTAAGTGATGATTTGATCTTTCTGTCCACAGGAACAGCGTGAG